TTCTCTCAGGCAGGTAGCAAATGATCACATACTTCAATAGCACGTGTATGGCGATAGACAAATTTTTGTGTTGTAATCACAAGCAATAGCTCAATTAGAAAAATAATTTTTCTATTTGATTATCAAACGTTAGGATATTGTCTAAAAACTGCACAAAAATATGGATGGAAGCATTTGAGTCCAAATAAAAAAGGACTAAGTCCGAGTTTTACAGATGGTTATATAACATGAGCTCTAACTTTCAATGATTTCTGGGCGAACTTCATTTTGACTCGCTATAAATATAACAGGTTCTGATCACTTGATTTAGTTTTACGGTTATTCGCGTTTTCAACAAAAATTATTGAAAAATACTCTTGGGTTCAACAAGTTTTTGATTTCACGGTAAACTTAAAAAGATCATATATATGCAACTTATAGACATCTAAAACTTTGTCTTTGACGGAAAGTTGATCGCTAGATTCTAATTTGCTTTTAAAATTAATGAATCTTAAAAACTTTTTTAAATCCGTTTTTTGCGCAACCATTCACCAAAATTTCATATTGAACTTCAGGTTTAAAATATCAGTCATAAAAACGCAGTAGCAGATATTTGCTTAAGAAGTAACTGAGTCTAAACGATAGCCCTACTAATTTGCTTACATCTGAGCAAACAAAATTTATGTAAGACTTAAAAAAAAGTTTATCGTCAACATGTAAGCCAAGATATTTCACAGATTTTTGACGTCCAATATTAACGCCGTTTGGTAACAAGTAAAGAGGTGGAGATGAGTTTTTGAAAGTTATCAATTGGAATTTATTTATCTTAGTATTCAAAGTAAGTTTATTAGCTCTTAACCAGTGGTAAATTTGGTCAAGTTCGATCAGCAGAAAATTTTTTATTTGAGTTAGATATCTGCGTAGTGGACGGTTTTGAAAGAGTTGCACTCTTGATGCATGTCATTAATATAAATGAGAAAAAGTAATGGACCTAGAATTGAGCCTTGAGGGACCAAGCATTTCACCGGTTACTTATCAGAGCTGACATGGTCCGATGTTAGCAACTGGAATCAGTCTGGTAAATAGTTTTTTTACGAGACCTTATGCCGGACCCCGTATTCTATACGCGTTAAACTTCTCAAGTAATATCGTTTATTTACCAGTTTCAAAAGCTTTTTTTTAAGTCAAGTAAAACTTCAATCGGTTGTTCGTTTCTTAAATGATTTTCTTTAACCAATTCAAAGAGTTCGACATTTGCACAAACTGCTGAATGCTTTGGTCAAAAAAACAGGTATCTCGAGAAACGAAAATGGAATAGTTTTTCAAAGACTTTGCCAAACGATGAGAGCAAAGAAATAGGCCTGTAATTGGTGAGATGTTTGCCAATTTGAACACAAAAGGATAATTTCCGTTCGTAAGACATTCGTTGAAAAATTTAACCAGATATGGCACAATAACATGGGAACATGATTTAAGCAATTCGTTAGCGAGACCATCTAATCCGGGTACTTTGCCACTCGGTAGTTCATTTATTGTCTTGCAGCTCAAAACTTTTCATCGGTTCAAGACGTAGAGAAATTTACGGCATTCGGTATTATCAGAGGAGAATAAGGAATGGCTGACACTGATTTCGAACCTACGTCGACAACGAACTTATTGAAGGCATGTACCATCGTTTTTAAATCATCTAATTGATGATCGGCTTTCATTTCATGAATCCTTTTTCAATTTGTTCAATGACTTGCTAGGTAAGGTTTATTTGAATTTTTCATGCAAGAGCTCACTTTCTCTTCGTAAAACTTCTAATCTAGCCTGCTTAGATCAATAACTTTATTTCGCTGCTTCACGAAATGATTGCAAATTGATGGATTTTGATTTTTTGAAACCATGTTTTTGTGCAATTCATTTCTTTTGTTGATGGCACTTTAAAATTTATTCGATAACCATGAATTTTCCTGAAAGAAAAAATTTTGTTTTTTGAAGCGGAGCCGCTTTGTTTAATGTTAGGACCGAATGATGTGTCAAAGATTCGACTGAGTCCAATTTGGATACAGTGAGTTCGGATTGTGGAACATCATTGAAATAATCTTTTAAAGTTTTGGATTTTAAGAACCTTAGATTTCGCGTCATTTTTCAGATCGTTTGTTACTGAATGAAAAATTCAGTTCAAAAAAAGTACTATAGTGGTCGCTTATTGTGTTTTCAATAACCCCGGCATCACACTTTATTTTCGTCAAGGTTTGTGAGAATATGGTCAATACACGAGTAAAGTGAAGCAGTCACGCGCTTAGCTTTGTTTATTACTTGTCAAAAGCTATTTGTGCTAATAGAAACTCCATATATGTACTGTATGTAGCCCTCTTTGAAGACGTCATTAATGAAATCTCCCAGAATGAATACATTTTTACTTGCTGAGTTTTCGAGAAAATTATCCAACTCCAGATAAAAATCTTGAAGGTTCGAGTCTGGAAGTCTATATACGCACCCAAGAGTTAATGAATTTTTAATTGCAGCAATGCTTTAAAGAATCAGCTCGAAAGCTTAGAGCTCCTACTGAATCTTGATACAAGTTTTTTGAAATTTCTTTAGTATATATCCACCTCTTTTTGTACGATTTATTGTTACAAGAGTTGTATAATTATGCATCGAAAAAAGCAGTGGATCATCCTGTTCATCGTTGAGCCAAGTCTCAGGGACAAATAGCTATAGTAATAAAAGACGGAGAACTTAAAGAAGCAACTAATTCATCATAATTGCGATTAAGAGAACGTATGTATAAATAAAGGTATCACTGCACATCTGACAATTATTGCTTTTATTTTTGGCTCAAGTGTCATCATCTGGCTCCTGGGTTGAAACCCCTTGTCGATTTCAGTCCCATCGCTCGAAGCAGTTTGGCGATTAATTGTTACAATTCAACCCCGAGTTAATAATGCCCCCCACTGCTTTAGATGAAGCTGGCGAGAGGGCCTTAACATTACTACTCACAATATCTTTATGGTTCGTTTCAGTCGTCACAGGAGATAAAGTGAGTTTTCGTTTCTTGTGGTTATGAAGTTAACTTGAATCTGGCTTCCGGATGACGGTATAAATTAATGCCACAAAATCGGTCACTTAGCTGACAAACTTGGTTCGGAGCTCGTTGAGCCAAAAAAAAACTAAAAAGTCAAATAATAACAAGCATAAACAATCAAACCTAGAAGAAGTTTCACGTAGCATTAAAATCGTCATTCAATCAAAGCAACATGAGGATGCCACTAAGTCGACATGATATTAGCCAAAACATTTCAAGCCAAAGTAACATACTCAGCGTAAAAAGGGACACACTTAAAATTCAGTATTGTGTTACCAGTAGTATATTCCCATACTTTGACATGAAGGCAAAACTGCGCTTCGCACACCGTAACGAGATAACGACAAAAAGCAGCTCTATAAAGTTAAATAAGAAAAAGTAGACAAATCCTCGAATTATTAAAACCGGCTACCCAGAGAATTGGAGTCTCACGTACTTCCCTCTCAGCCACGCACACTTAACGACCATCAAAAACTAGCCCAAATAAAACAGATGCTATGAAATTTCTAATGCTACAGAACGTGATTACAGCAAAATGCCACCAAATGAGCAGTTTCATTTGCGAGTTAGGTTAGAAAAAAAAAGTGGAGTCAGACTAATGCACTACGCTTGTTAGTGTAATAATGACGAGAATTTAAAATTGGTGAACGAGATATGCCTGTTGGCCCAATATTGATTAAGCGACTTTTATTTAACAAATTGTCTGTTTGGTCAACGCATTAACTTTAATGCAAAGTTTGAAATATGTCACTTTGATCGGAAAAAGGAACGAACTTATAAAATAACGATCGCTTGTTTATACAGCTGAACGTAATAGTAATTGAATGAACGGAGATCATATTTTATTATTTTGAATTGGACCTGGGAGGAGAAAATATGACTGAAACAGAAGTACGATGAAGTTGGCCTCTCATAACAAATGGACATCAGAATCATAAATAACACGAAAACTTACAAAACGGCACAAACATAACATTGCAAGCTTTGCTACCGGACTGGGCACGAAATGGACGCCACTGTCGAAAAAAATCCAAGAGACAGCTGGAAAAGAATCAATGTACGCAAGTAAAATTTGAAAATCCCAACTTTTGAATTTCAAAGAAAAAATTAGATGGTCTTAAAGCTCGAATTTCTAAAACATTTTATGATTGACACTTTTCTGATGAAAGTAACTTATTTCAGAAAACTGGATCAATAGATAAAATTTTTATTCCGCTGGGAAATTCGATAATTAAATTCCACTTTCGAAACGTTTTTCGCGACCTTTACTTTTTCGCTGTCCGATTGCGTAGTTTGCCTTCTTTTAACAAGGGAAATGAACTGAACTTAAAAAGAAATAAAAAGTCAGACCGCGAAAAAAATAACTTTGAGCCTGAACAAATTCGAAGACTTTTCCTGAAGAAAATCGAAAAAAATCATCGCGAACGCTAAGTAAAAACGTCAAACAAACTAGATCTAAAAAAAATCGTACGCTTGTCTCGCATGATGCTCAATCAGAGGGAAAAATGTCGATAAACAAATTCACCAGCAGATTCACTTTCGAAACTGATAGTCAAGCTGGAGCGCGTTTTCTTATGAAATTCAGTCCAAGAACACTATAACACAGACTTCAATGTAAGATAGGGGGAAAAATCTTTCACGACGTTTTCGGGAAGAAAGGGCAAACTAAATAAGTAAAACTCACTTGGCATTAAAAAGCTTTGGATTGACATAGAAGGCCCCTTTGGGAAAATTTTCTGCATCACTTTGATGATCAATAACACCTCTTGATAGCCATAATCTTATTCCGTTACACACTACACCAAATAACCTTAAATCTCATTCTAGACTAATACTGATTGTATAACAATCAGTTTCATTGCTTTGCAGGGGCTTATTACTGTTCTCTATCCCCCTATGATCGAATTATTTTACCTACCCTTGAGGACCTACCCTTGAATGTACCTACCCTTGAGGTCGTACTTCTTCCAAAGGGTGACATTGCGAGGTATGAGGTTGTTCATAATGGCCACTCGGACATTCTTGCCCAGGATGCTCTGGTAGCAGTAGCAGCCGAAGTATTTGGGAAGCAGTGTATCCGGAGACTGGTAGAGGTTCTACACAACAAACAACTCGATGACAATTTTAATTTCGCTCATTACATAGTTCCTCGAGCATTTAGTTCCGCTTACGAGGCGAAGCGGAGCGATACAGCACAAACATTAAAAAAATATATAAGTCGTAGAAAATGAAAAATCGTAAGCTAAAATTTTTGTCATGTCTCGATTAAAGACAACTAGGGACACAGCAAAAGCTGGAGTTACATCTTGATTTTTTTTTAATTTGTTGTACTGCTGCGAGACGAAATGCGTAATTTCGAAAATTGGACTTAGCATAAAACCTTAGTGGTTTCTCTTCTAAACTAAGTGGCAGATATTGGAATTTTCCCAAGGACAACATTTCTCTTAAAAAAATAAGAAGCCGCCGCTTCTGCAGGAAATATTCTCGCAACCAGTTCTTTCAATTGAAATTTTCAACTCAAAACAATGACTTTCCGAAATTCATTACTTTTTCTGCAAAGGTAGAGGCCGCTGAAGTAGAGAATATTCAAAGCCGGGGTACTCGATTCAACAGTTAGACTGAGAATTGGCATGGTAGTTTTCCAGACAAGTCAAAAAGTTTCCAAAAAACTGTCAAAATTTTACTGTTTGAAGGCCATTCAAACAATTCTGACTGTTTTAAGACCATTATTTTTTCTATAACAACTGGGCGTTTCCAATTATAAACGTGGACTTTGAACAACCTGTTATTTCGATTGAACCTGTGATATCCGATTTGGTAGGATCGTTATTTAGAAAAATCTAAAAAAACTGCCAACAAAACAAAAATTTGACATCATAGCTTTTTCGGTAAAACATTTAGCCAAAAATTTCCTCGGATTGAACAAAAACTCGCAGTAATGGGAGCGTAGCCTTTGAGGAAATTCAAAAAACTAAAAAAAAACAAAAAATCAAAACTTTGACTTTTCCGAGGGTCACAACTTTCTGAATAAAAAAACTTGGGCGTATTCGCACATGCAAATGAGCTTCTAACAAACCGTTTTTTGTATTGAACACACTCAGATATGAGAGAGTAGTTTTTTAGAAAATTCAAAAATTATAAAAGAACAAAAAATCAAAACTTTGACTTTTCCGAGGGTCACAAGTTTCTGTGACAAAAAAACTTGTGCGAAATCGCACATGCAAATGAGCTTCTCTTACTCCGTTCTTAGGATTAAACGCAAACTCTCAGATCTTTTTAGAAAATTCAAAAAGTAGAAAAAAAAACAAAAAATCAAAATCTTGACTTTTCCGAGTGCGATAACTTTTTGTAGGAAAATTGTGGGTGGCGCTAATGCAGGTGAGTTTTCCACTACCCTTTATCGCCCTTAAATCCACAAACTCAATTTGAGAGGTAAGATTTCAGAAAAAAAATCAAAAATTTGACTATTTGAGAAAAACAATTTTGGCCTGGCGAATAATGCGGGGGAGCTTTTCAAACCCGATCATTGAAACCAAAACCTCAGATTTCTGATGGTAGTTTCCGAGAAAACAAAAACTAAATGGGTAAAATATTTCATCCACAGACTTTTTCGAAGGCTGTAGACAGAGGGGTAAAGTAAAAGAGACTAAAGTCAAAAAAAAATCTTCCACAGCGTCTCAAAATAAATAAAATACAAAAAAACCCAATCCCATACAATTTCATAATCCCTGCATTATCAAACATGAACTTCAAGCAAACATGCCACGCAAGACATTTGAGTTTAAAATTGGCAACTGAACGAAACTTACGAAGCGGAAACAAAGCTGACAATCTTCGAACAGACACCAGTTGAGCCGAAAAAAAAACATGAAAGTACACTGAAAAACACTTGCAACTACCATGAAATTTGCTTACAGCACAAGAAAAATCTGTAATCTGGCAATTAAGCCGACAAAATTTCAGCAGATAAACGAACGACCACTAAATCACTTTTTACGGGAAATAACTTGTGCGTACATACTGAAAAAAAAGCACTCAAAGGTCTAGTTCCCGATTACAAGACACATGCTTTCGCGAGTGTAAAAACGTTTTATTACAGCAAAATAAAGCACTGTTAAAAAAGGTTGGCGAATTTCGGTAAGCAAACAAATATAAGCCTTGCAAGTTTTTCCTTGCTTTATCAACAAACTGAACTTTAGTTCAATCTTCAATGATACTTTTCAAGAATTCCACAACAAAGAAAAGTGACATATTTTCTTTTTCCATACAGAAAACTCTATCCGATCCGATTGAAATGTTGACCATTTACCAGAATATATCCTGGATATAGTTCGAGGAGGAACGTAGCCTCCTTCTTCTGCAGGGTCTTCATGATGAAGCAGTCGTCGCCCGAGATGAAGAAGAGACTGCCAGAGGCACCCGGGTTCGGAATACACTTCATCGGAGCACCTATCGATCTCTACAACACCACATCAGTCACGGCAACATTACACAATAAATTTTTTTGAAAAGATAATTCGGCGGACACCTCACATGCTATTGAAAAATGTGGTGTAAAAGCTGCGAAAAGCAGTAATTGAGACGTTTCTGATATGCACAAACCATGAATTCTGCCTTGTCGACTTTGTAAATTTTGCGGAAGAAATCGAAAGCCCTGGGGGCGTATGCTTTGAATCTGTAGTTGGCAACTGAGACGTGGCTGGAGCCGGAACTGGTGGGAGAAGCAGTCCCTCCTCCTGACTCATTGGCGTGGTAGTCACTCACATCTATCCCAGAAACGTGACTCAACAGTCTACTGTTTGACACGCTACTCGGAACCTCACTACTACACTCAAGAAAAAACATCAAGTTGAACAAATGGCGAATCATGAAACATGGCCAACAGCAGGTTGGAAAAATTAAAAGAACAAAGGAACCGGAAAAAACTTTTAACTTTCGAACTTCAAAAAAAATCTATCAGGTTAAAACTCAATTCAACAATTTATGATTGACACTTTTTTGATAAAATCAACCCAATTTAAAAAACACTGGATCAATGGGTACATTTTTTATTCCGCTTAAATATTATAAGAAAACTGGATCATTTATAAGAAATTATAAAAATGGATCATTTATAAGAAATTATAAGAAAACTGGATCATCTATAACAAATTATAAGAAAACTAGATCATTTTTTATTTCGCTTAAAAATGATTTTTTAACACTTTCGAAACTAGAAGACATTCGTTTTTTTTCGCATCATTTCCGCTTTCGTAATTGTAGAGCAATTTTTATCTAACTTTTAGCAGATGAATTTGAAATGAACTTAATAAGTGCATATATACCTAAGTTCATTCGTAAAAGCATTGATATGGATGAATGCATTTCTGTAGTTATTAGAGCATTTTAAGACGTCAAAAAATCATCAAAAACTTTTTATTGAGTGAAAATTATATTGTTCTCTTACTTTTAAAAACGAAATCAGACCAGTAAAGAAACATGTTCAACGAATTTCAGGAAACTATTACCTAGATCAATCTGTCCATTTATAATTCCTCTGGATTATTAATTAGCAAATTGATTTGAATTGAACTTCAAAAGAAACCAGATTGAAATCAAACCGCGAAAAAAAATTGAGCGTGAAAACAAAGGCGTTTCCTGAAACAAAAAGATACCACGCGACCCAAACAAGTCTCCATTTTGTTTATTGCATTGCCGCTTACTAACTATACAATCTCTAGGAGTTATTTTGATAGATAAATGGCCATAGAAACCCAATATACTAATCGTATATCAGGCCCAAGTCCAGTATGTTCCGACTGCAATTTACTGCCAATTAGAAAAATGGTCGAAAAACTGTCACAGAGGCGAAGCGGAGCATCGCACATCATTTTGATATAATGCTAGCTCAGCATTGCAAGCTAGCGAATACAAAAAAAATCAAAATAAAAAAACTACTTGAATGTTTCAAAAAATAAACCTTTTTTGCCTTCGATGCTACACAAAATAAGGTACATAAGCCGATAAAACATCAGCCAAAATCATTTAGGCCGAATAAAGCTTTTATACAAAAAAAACATAGCCAAAAGACAGTTGGAAAAGAGTCAATTAAATCAAGTACACAGAAAAAATACTGACATATATTTTTTTAACAATCTCAATTTTCGAATTTTCCCAGAAAAAAGACGGCCTTAAAGCTCTTCGAATTTCTCTAACAATTTAAAATTTAAGCTTTTTTGATAAAATTAACCCGATTTAGGAAAAACTAGATTACGCCTTAAAGCTCTTCGAATTTCTACAACAATTGATAATTTAGGCTTTTTTGATAAAATTAACCCAATTTAGGAAAAACTAGATTACTGAGTAATGTTTTTATTCCGCTGAAAAATCTGAAACTTAATTCGAAACTAGAAGCGATCACGTTTTTCGTGACCTACACACTTTTGCTGTTCAATAGCGGAATTTCCCCTCCTTTTAACTAACGAAAAAAGCTCAACAAAAAAACTCAAAAAGTCAAACCGCGAAAAAGTAAATTTGAGCCTGAGCAATTTTCTAAGACTTTTCCTGAAAAAAAAACTGGAAAAAAAATAATCGCGACCTATAGAAGAGTCTGAACTACTTTCATCGACTCATAAAAAAGGAAAACCAAGAAAAATAAACAACGTTAGTGCTTTTAATTTTTCAAAGTGCAGAAGTGAATCAAAACAGAGGCGAAGATAAACTTCAGACTACAGGCGATAAAATACAAGGAAGCGGCTAAGTCGAAAAAAAAACGTAAAAAAACTAGATCTATCGAAAAACATATGGTTAGTTTAGAACCAAAAACCCACCAAGAAAATAGAATGTAAAATTAGCATCGAAAAAAAAAATATCAGGCGGTAACAAATCCGAGAATACGTTAACAGAAACCCTTCAAGCCAAATAAAAATTCAATCAAAAAACCTCTAAGCCAAATGAAAAATCACAAAAATTATTAAATCCCCCTTACCTTCACACGCACGCAAACTTTGTATTCGCTTCGAATGAAACAATATGACTACCTATTAAGCAGAAAAAAGGGAAAAACGAAAATTTGAAGAAATAAGAATAATGAAAAGTTATCAAGTCCCAGGCGTATTCGTTACCTCCAGACCAACTGTGCCCGAAAGGCATGGAAATTAAAATTAATTAGTGACAGAACCTAAATTTACCATTTCTAACTTTGACCATTCTGTGCCTTGAGTTATCTACGGGAAACAAAGTCTAGTAACCGATTGCAATACCCAAAAGAATTAAAAAATTATTAGGCCCCCCTCGCCCTCAAAACACAAACACACAAAAAAGTTTGCGCTCATCGAATGATACAAGACAAAATGAGGCCACAAAGAGGATTTAACATAGGCCGAAACCTATCAAGCCGACAAAGGAAAAAAATTTGAAAAACTAAATTTTACCTAGTAAAAACTAGATCTATCGAAAAACGCATAGTCAAGTTTTAACCAAAAGCGCCAAGAATGTAGAAAGTAAAATTAGCATCGAAAGATAATTTATCAGGCGGTAACAAAACCGAGAATACATTAGCAGAAACCCTTTACGCCAAATAAAAATTCAAAAACATTCTGAAATCCCCTCACCCTCAAACATACACGCACACACAAACTTTATATAGGCTTCAAATGAAACAATATGACGCCATTAAGCCGGTATAATAAAATTCGCTGAAACCTATTAAGCGGGGAAAAAAAGAAAAACCAAAAATTCGAAAACAAAATTAAGAAAGTTCTCAAGTCCCCCGCACCCTCAAAACAGACACAGCTCGACAAATGATGCAGTATGAGGCCACTAAGCCAACATAAAATAGGCCGAAACCTATTAAATACAAAAAAAGGAAAACAAAAAAGAAACAAAACAGCCGAAAAAAATTCAAAAAAAACCAAGACTAACAAAAAGTTATTAATTCCTCCTCGCCCTAAATACACACGTAACCACGAAAACTTTTCAACGGCGCAAAATGAGGCCACTAAGCCATATACTAATGGCCAAAACCTATAAGGCCGAAAAAAAGTTAAAACACAGAGGCGAAGCTGAGCTACAAAACAAGAAAGCCGCTAAGTCAGAAAAAAATCGAAAGTCGAAAAAAACTATATCTATAAAAAACAAGGCTAGCTTTCAAATAAAAAAAACAATCCAAGACAATGGAATGTGAAATAAGTATCAGAAAAAATTTACCAAAGCCAAAAATACCTTGGCAGAAACCCTTTAAGCCGAAAAAAATGAACACGACCTAAGTTAATAAATCCCCTTCACCCCCAAAACACAGACACGCACACAAGTTTTTTTTTCGCCCGTCGACAGACGCAATATGGCTATTAAACCAATACAATATAGGTCAAAACCTACCAATCCGATAGAAAAAAAACAAAAAGCCGTAAAAAATGTCACGAAAAACTTGAACTAGTATTTCTATTGAGATTTCAAGCCATTTGCTCGATCCAGAGGTGAATCGAATCAAAATTAGGTCACTAAGCCAATAAAAAATAAGCCGAAATTATTTGATCAGAACAAAGACTTTAAGCGAAAAAAAAAGAAAACGTCAAAAGAAAATAAAGCGTCAAGGCTAGTAAAATTACAAACATCAGAGGTAAATCAGAACACTAAAAGCAACTATGTAAAAAAAACTACAAAAAAAAACTATTCTACAATTTGACATCTAAGTCGCCAAAACATAAGCAGATAAATAATGAGCAGACAATTCTTTGGGAAATAAAGTTTTATGGGAAGTTATTAACAGGAAAGAAAGTCTAGTACCCGATTGCAATACCTTTGATATTGCAAAGGTAAACACATCCGAAAAAAAATCAAGACTAATAAAAAGTTATTATTTCCCCCTCACTCTCAAAACACATACACACAAAAAAAAAATCTTCGCTCATCGAACGATAAAGCGCAATATAAGGCCACAGAGACGACTTAATGTAGGACGAAATTTTTAAAAATCAAGAAAAATAAGAATCAAAAAAATTAATTCGAACATGAGAGATAATTTCAAATAGGATGATAAATTTATCTGTAGCATTAAATTAATTGCTAACAGGCTTCCAAAAAATGAGTCCATATGAAAGTCCTGTGAACAAAGTTATTTGCAGGGAAAAAAGTCTAGTACCGGATTGCCATATCCTTGCTTATCGCAAGGGTTAAAACACCTACAACTACAAAGAATACTGGTGAAAACACAAGAAAAGTCCCCGGTGTGGCAAAGCCGAAAAAACATAAGCAAAAAATTGAAAATCGGACAATTCAATTATTCTGGAAAAGCTTTCAGTTTCATACATGCTGAAAAAAAACAAGGTCCGATCGGGACTCGGACTCCATAGTTTTGGATTAAAAGGTGACCGCATAACCTCTAGGCCAAGTGAGAAGGAGTTTCAAACTTGCTAAGATTCACTAATAAGGCAACTTCACAACTTCTTACAGATATGTATGAAAAGTTGTTTAGGGGAAAAAAGCCTAGTTCCCGATTACAAAACCAAAAATAAGGAAATGAGCAAAAAAGGGAAACAATTATATCTTCATTTTATCTCCTGCAAGCTAATGTAAACTACATAGGGATGTCATTAGCGTCCTGTATACTAATATCAAGAACAAATGACCGGCCTCAATTGAATTAGAAACAACGTTTCGTGCGGTAATGAGCCCCAAAGTGACAAATTAGCAATTTTTGAATTTCCATAACTGCACAAAAACAATCATATGTAAAAAATGCTTAAATTTGAGCTCGGGACAATAATATTATTCAGATTATATAAAAAAATAATTGGTACTTTTGTCAAAAATGCTGAGTTCATGCTTCAAAAAATGACTGAATGAAAAACCTAGCTAACATACAGATCAAAATGAGTCAACGAACGTAAGTAAACGAAAACTTAGCCAGTAGAAAGTTGGAAAAGTGTCATGAACGCAAGAAAACAAAAAATAAACAGTTGTTATTTGAAAAAAAAACTTCAATTTTCATACTTCAAAGAAATAATTAATGTAATAAATAAAAAAAATTGTATTAATAGAACCATTTAGATTTATCACTTATTGAAAACACTGGATTAATGAGTGATATTTTTTTCAGCTGGGAATCCATTTTTGAAATTAGAAGTTGATCACGTTTTTCTCTTTTGCTGTTCGTTAGTTTCGCTGTTCGATAGTGGAGTTTACAAAGGAAAAGAAATGAACTTAAATCATAAATCGAATAGCGAAAAATAAAATTTGAACCCGAACTTCTAAGCCTTTTCCGGAACAAAAAACAAAAAAAGCGTCACAATCTATGTAAAAGTCTTTTTTTAGTTAACCAGCCAGAAGCCTAACCCGAAGCTTAATTATCTAAGGGTAACTAAGCTGTGGCTCACATTGTAAATAGTAGCGCTCGTGCGATTTGAACCCGATATGATTGCTGGGCACCATCACTACCAATGCACCACAACGCCACTACTACCGATGCACTACAACGCCACTCGTTCATCCACTCTTAAAAACCAGCCCACACATAAATATTCCGTGAAAGTCGGAACATTAATCAGAGAAGCAAAAAGAGGGGAGCGGTGGTGAAGTGGTTAAGTCTCGCTTCATGCAGCATTACCCAGCCCCGAAAATAACCAAAAAAACTGCATGTAGTTCTTAAACAGGGAACAGCGGTAGCCTAGATGATCTGTACAGCTCGTATGTTGGTCCTTTCTCTTGTGAATAAATTGTCTTAATCTTAAGCTTAAGAGAAAAAGTGTCCATTTTAGAGTCACAAAACATCGAGTTCGTTGATTGACGGTTTCTATAACTATTGGTGTTGTACAATGTATTGGTGTAACATTTAAGGTTTTACTCACCCCTGGATGTTGAGCATGACCACTTGCTCCAGATCCTGAAACAGTTTTCAGACAATCAATTGCAGTTTTCACAAAGTCTTCTCAAAAATGACATCAAAATACTAATCTTTTCCAGTTTCAATCAACCAACCAACTACAATAGAGAAAAATTGGATACGTTCCAAATGCTACTTTTCTGCTTTGACAACTTGGATGAAATTTCAATATTGATCTGGGGAGAGTATTGTACATACCACCATGAGCATCTGTCGTTCTGGCTCGTACAGCTTCTTGTTAGAGATGACTGTGAGCATGCCATGTTGGATGGATCTCTGCAGGTTCTCAAGTTCCAACTACACACACCACACCGATTAGACCACAGTAAAATATACTAATCAATACCCATTATTCATTATTCACCCCCAGAAATAATCAAAATACACAGTAATTGAAAGGAAAGTTTTAATTTCATACACATTTTAAAATATATATGTCATTAAGTCCATTAAACTTATTTCGATAATCTCACCTTTTTGAACTTCTGTGGTTCATTGTTGGCATTCAAGGTCGTGTGCCCCACTTTCTAAAACATAGAAAATATTATAGCAAATTTTTCAAACAAAATAGCGGAAATAGTTCTACCACGGCTAGAGGTGACAATAAAGTGAACTGTTCAGTTTTGGAGAAAATCAAGTTAAAACTACCAGAGTTGTATTCTTACAGACTTTGACAATTAAGCCTAATAGACTGATGTATAACTGTAACTTATGTATAGCTAGAGGTTTACCTTTGGTGAGTGTTGACAGAGGCAACTCATTAAACACGTCTTAGTTAAATGAATATTCTTCGAAAAAATGAGCGAGTATTTCACCCCAAGTGATTTTAAGTTAATTTTCGTAATTTTATAACCTAAAACAATGTCCAGTTTCCAATTATACAATCATCAGCAACGACTATGATTAACCAGCACTAAACTGCCAGTTTCAATCCACAATTATGAAGTGAAAGGATTCAGAAAGATAACCTAATTGCAAAGAATAAGAGTGAGTACATCAACCAGCTGCAATTAAATTATCTACCAACCAATTCAAAGAATAACTGGCAAACCTCTTGGTCACGTGAAACATGAGATGCTCTCAGCGCACAGTATTTATCCCGTTTTATCTAATCAAACCCTCTTCAGTCAATGAAACGCAGGAATAATCTAATCAGTAAACAACCTAGGACCATTAGTACACATTACCAGATCAATTAAACACCTTTTTCTTGCGCAAAAACTCGTTTCAATATGGCGACATTGACAACAGAAAATTTTATTTATTTTTAAATGTGAATATTTATCATTTAGAAATTAAACTTACTGCAAGAAAGCTAATTAAAAACTTCCGCCTGCTATCTAATTTACTTCTCGTCTAAGCTTTTATTTTTGTTCATTTGATTTTCTGGTACAATTTAGTACATTTAGTTCACGGATAGACCCGAATCCATGTCTCGAATTATTTCAACTATTACAGAGGCGAACCCTAGTTACCAGTCTTCGGCCATTTAAGATTGATCAAAACCGTTTAACATTAATTACAAAATCCAATCTGAGATAATAGTCAACAAACTGTGTTCAACCGTGATTTTCGGAAGAATTTCTGCCCAACAATACAAATGGAGGAAAATAAACTCAACACTTAAGTTTCCTATCAACAATTCGAAACCAAATGATCATCCATGCCTTAGCAATTTAAACTTTTGTTTCACATCTAACGCTTCCTCAAGCAATTGTTTAAGATACAATTGGGGTTTTTTTTTCATGTACTTCTGGGGAGCTTCAAAATTTAAACACAGGAGAAGCGGAACAGAAAAACATAACTTTATACGCAAGCGGACATAAAATGAGACGGAAGCCAATAAGTCAAAAAAAAAAATTCAGTGCAGAAAAAACCTCATCTAAAACTTCTTACGCTTGTCTCGAATGAAGCTCAAATTGATGAAAATATGCAAAAAAACAATCTCCAGCATAAAAAATTATTCAAAAAATTTTCGAGTGGAAAAAATTAAGCCGAGTTGTTAGCGACAATTTTGAAATATTAAGGTTTTGAAATACAAAACTTTTACGCCCACCTCGCCGGGAAGCCCAAAAGGAGGAAAGATTATTTTTCTTTCAAACAACGCAAATTTATTTGACTAAGCTGATATAATATAAGCCAAAACCCTTTAAGTCAGATAAAACTATCAAGCGAAAAATGAAATAAAACAAAGTCAGGGCTTTTTGAAATTATAATTATAGGAACAAATCAAAATGAATATATAGGAATAAATCAAAATATTGATAATTAATGACATGACAAAGAAAATTCGCGCTCTGGCATATCAAGCGACAATAATAAAAGAAAGAGAACAAGAAAGACCAATTAATTAACCATCAAAATTTGCAAAAACAGCTTCTAGCCCGATTCGTACCATAGACCTTCGTTGTCCCGGAAATAGATTTGGTAAACTTTCAAATTACTGGACTTTCAAGTATATTAAAAACTGTAGAAAATCCATGCTTTAGAAAAAACGCAGATAAAAAACTGTACCCGATAATAAAAGTAGCATTTGAGGAAAAAGCGGAAAATGAACCGACGGAAACAAGGACAGAAACTAAGATTCCGAAAAAAATGAATAATTGTTTCAAGAAACTTATTTGAAAACGTAATTATTACCAGTTAACTTCTTCACCTCAGTACTAGGTAAAGTTTTTTTTTAAATTTTCAAGAAATTGATAATGTCAGCAGAGAAAATAGCAATATCAAAATGAATGAAGCTAGTTTAAAAAAAAACAAGCCAAAGCAACAGAATATGAAAATAACATCGAAAGAAAGTCTTCCAATCGGTAACAAAGCCAATAATACCTCAGCAGAAACCCTTTAGGCCGAGAGAAACTTCAACACTAATTTTAAGTTTTAATGTTCCTTTGCCCTTCATACACACGCGCGCACAAAAATTAAACGACGCAATGTAGTAGTAGTAAAGGCTTTAGAACAATTTTCCAAAAATTTTCACCCCTCAGTTATCATCTGGCACAAAATTGAGTTTTTTCAGGGTGTTGCAGGTTCCACAAATGCATTGACCTCGCCATGTAAATGAGTTCACCTAGTTGAACTTTTCTCGGAAGAACGTTTGATATAGCTTTGTAATTGTAATTTTGTCGATTACACCATCTGTTTTCACACTCCTCTGTACTATGTTCAGTAGTTTGGGCGCTCGGATCCAAAAGTTTTTTCTTAAGCGGGGTCGCGACACGCCGAGCTCAGTTTGTTGTCGTGTTGAACCTCCGCAACTGGATATTGCAGGTATATCATCAGATTCGTAGTTTCCTTACAGCACTGAAATATAGTACAGCACATCACGCAGTTCCATGTACATGGATAGCGGCAGGATTTTCGTACGGAGCAGTCTCACTTTGTAGTCGGTGCAGCCGTTGCATAACCATGAAGTCGCTTCCTTATGAACTTTTTGATCTTTTTAATAACGGTTTTGGAGGGGTTCCATACCTGTGTGAAATATGTTAGTACAGGGACAACATATCCTATAAAAGCATTGACTTTTTTTCTATGGTTGCTTTTTTGGATGTGTTTCGAGACGTTTGGCTTCAAGGACTTTTCTAATCCAGGCAAATTCTTCAGAAAAATGTTGCCTATAATGTTAGGTAGGCAGGCTTTGTCCACGTCCAGTTTTATTAGGAAGTGCTTTATCTCTTCTTCCGCCACTTGCATGAAGTCAAGGTATGAATTTTCGTAGTTCGGGGAGTACTGTTACCTTCTTGTGAAAATACATTCGAGACGAACACATTGATGAGTTCACAATTCTGCTGGTCGTTACGTTTATTGTTCTCGTTATCCTATAGGTACACTTTGTCTGAGAACGGCTTATTCATATGAAATGATTTGAGGTATTTCTGTAGTGAAGATTCTAATTCAAGCGAAAATTCTAATTCGAAGCGTCAGTTTTGGAGATTTTTAATATTTTCTAAGCATAATTCCAATTTGTTTCATCAAGTGCGAGGTTGATGGACAGATCCCGGGTGGCACTTTGGATCGGTAAGCCATTACTGAAGGTGTATTTTCGTCGTTAGTTTTCGGAGCCATGAGCACATTGTTTCACCAATTCGTCCACATTGCTATAACAGTTCGGATTGAAAGGCCGCTCATATATGCATTCATTGAAAGCATTCCAGTCAGCTTTTTTGAAGGCGTATTTTTCTTTGTAGGTGGTATCGAGGTTTTGAACTCGAAAGAGAACACTGTTCCGTAGGCGTGATGGTCGGAAAGCTTCTTCTTAGGGATCGAGTAGACAGTTTCAATTTTATTATCGGTGCATGAGTGTTCCACGAGTTCTGGTTCCTGAGTCAGGAAAACATCCCGATTTTTATCTTTTTGGTTTGGCAATACCTGACGAAGCCCCGTTCGATAAAGCCTCTCCGTAATGGAAGACTCGAAGTCATCCTCTGACACTGCTTTCCCAGCTTGTTTCTTGTAGGTTGATGACACCAGTTAGTATAATATTGCAAACGTTCTGGGAAATCTTTAATTCGTCCCGAGTTTGCAAAATGACAAGGAACTCATGTGTGCTCAATCTATAGGGGCTGTTCTTGGGCGGGTTGTAAAGCAGCATATAAGTGTTGAGTGACCCTAATTGTAGACCTGAACAATGACGCACTCGTGTTTGAATTCCAAATGGATTCTTTTGTGTATCAGCCCTCTAATTGCAATGATGACACCGCCATGATTTGTAGACAATGAGTCGTTCACGCGATGACTTCTGTAAAGGTTGTATTCGAGTAAAAATAGAGCCCCGTCTAGGACTTCTTGTACTAGCCATATTTCGCTGATGCACAGTATATCATAGTCGTTAGTGGCTATTGCATTCGCAAATGTCATTCGCCTATTCAGTTGGAGGATGCTCCTCACATTGACTTCTGTCTTTATATTACGTATTCGAAGGTCCTTCGAGCTGACATTTTCGTTCTGGATGAGATGGCATCCCGATTTGAGAGCGATATTCTCCAACTTTTGTTCGTCTGGGTCTAGTTCTTTACTGAGGTACACTCGTTTCGTGTATGAAGATTGTTTATGAGCAGAGCAAGAGCAGCCGACGCTGGTGTTCGTTGGCCAGCTTGACTACTTGGTTTCTCGTTTTCGATTGGTCCGAAACGCTTATTCAATTCACGTCCTCTATGACGCAGTCAATTTCTAGAAACGTGGTGATCTTCCGCAGCTTTTCTTTATCGTTTTGGAGTCTTTTGTGGGCGTTCTCACCTCTTGGTTCAGGTATTCCTGGAAGTCTGATTCCATCATAGCTCAATTTAATAGGCGTTTTCGGGCTTTTCTTTCATTTTTTCAGCATATTTCGTTACCTGTTTTTTCTTCGGATGGAATATGTAGCCACTGAGCCGTTATACTATATGAAGAAAGCTTTTAAGCCGAAAAAAAATCATAATTTTCGAATAGGACGCATATTTTGAAAGCTAAAATGCACACTTAAGAACTGTTGCAGCAAAGTTTCAACACAGACGAGTCAAGCGATGTTTCATTGCAGGAGAAAAGGTGTCAGAAAAAAAAATTGCGGGGAAAAAGTCAAGTACCCGTTTCTAATAACCTTGTTAATAGCAAAGGGATGAAGTTCAAAAAAAACTAACACACCAAAAGAAAAAGTTCTTCGCCACTTTCAGATATCATAACAAACAACATAAAGCCAACAGACAGCTGGAAAAGATTAAATGAACGCAAGTAACAGAATATAACAATAATGACTTACTTCTCGAAAAAAAACTTTCGAATTCCAGAGACCACAATAGATGCCCGTTCATTCCTGAATTTCTTGAACAATTTATGATCGAAACTTGTTTGATGATATCAGCCCAATTTGAGAAAACTAGATTATTAGGTAATGTTTTTATTCCGCTGAAAATTACACTCCACTATCAAAACTAGAATTCGGTCACGTTTTTTGAGACGTTTACACGTTGGCTTTGCCTTCCACTTAGCAAATGAAATAAACTGAACTGAAAAAAGCCAGACCGCGAAAACGTAAACTTGAGCTTGAACAAGTTTTAAGACTTTTCCTGAAAAAAAAAACAAAAACAATCAGCAGCACCTATATAAGAGTCTCAACTACGTTCACCGATTCCTAAAAAAGAACAAATTTCTTACAATAAATTTTAATGAAACCAGATAGAACCTAAATAAACACAATCTAGTCCATTATATTTCGACTCCTTGGTTTCTCTGAATGTGAAATGTATTAGAATTTGACATCAAACAGCTCAAAATTAGACAACGTCCATATAAAAACTCAAACAACGCATCAAAACTGATTTGGAATTTTTTACATTTTCAGCGAATTTCTTCGGTATGATTTTCTTATATATCGAAAAACAACTAAGTATCAACAAAGAGCAAGTTAGAGCTAGAAAACCAACAAAAAATAGGGGTTCGCAATTAGGGGTTCAGCAGCAGCGGCCGCGGCATCAAGAAAGCACGGCAATAACGACGCGAAGTGCCGGGAACTTGGCTGGGAGTGCCTTCCTATGGTAGTCACTTGCTATGGCGAGTGGGGAAACGAGGCCATCGCATTCCTAGACCGCCTTGCATCTCGTGTGGCCATGCAAACAGCAACCAGCACGCCGGAGATGAAGAACGCCATTTACACTCGGCTCAGCTGCCTATTAATGCGGTCGAACGCGCAGGCAATGCTGTCGAGAGGTGGACAAATAACGGCAGGTCGAATGGAATTATCAATTGGAGGCGACCCATCAGCGTAATCATATAGACAATATACAACTTTAGTGTCTGCCATCAGGAGCAATAGTTTTTGGCTTGTGCTGTTTGCGATTACGGACCTCTTGGTTTTCACTATATGACTGATAATGTATTTTTGTTTGTAAGACTTTCTTAGATGTGATGTTTTTAATCTTGACAGAAATCTTCCAAAAGTGTCGACCCTTTGCTGGAGTGATTTCAATTTACGAACAACGGATGCAGATGTGGCCTCCTATCCTAATATGATTGTTCAAGTTTAAAAAAAAAAATATGAGAAAAATTGTAAATGAAAAAAGATCTATTAAATAAGATCATTACTAGTTTCAATAATCGTACACCATTAAGACCTATGGTGTGGAATTTCACTAGACAAATATCCCCACGAAAAGTCAAAAAATATCTGTTAATCTCCGTTCGTGATCAATTCAGGATTCACGACCTGTGTCGGAAGCAACGTCAAGGAACGATAGAATGAAACAAATTATTAGTTCCTCGCCTCTTAACAACCAACGGCAGCTTCAATGGTCATTGTTAAACAGATTCCAGTCCATGCATACTTTGTAAATCTGAAATTATCATGGTGAACGAAATTCACATTGACAAAAAAATTACCTGTTTTCCACCAGCTGCAGACGATGACACTGCTGGAATGTCTCCGGATGCTTCTAATAAAAAAAAACATTCCTTAGTGAAAGTCTACATTGACGAGCATTTTACCTCTATGCGAAGCGTTAATAAGAAAAAGGGGCAAATTAAAATGGGCCCTTCAGTCATGCGACGGTCCGTGCACAAGTTGGATAGGGTCATACCAACACTATGTAAATACATCGGCAAAAGTTCGAGAATTTTCAATTAAAATCTACCCTCCTCGATTATAGCAGAGATGGAATTGTCTATGTTGGATGTATTTTTAAGTTTTTCGTGTTCATAAAGACATTGAGTCAAGGAAAACCTACTTGACTCAGGGTCCGCCATAACATCGTTTCAAACCATATGGTGCACTTCCTGAATGTGAGGACACGTTTTATCCTTAGGTAGCATATATCTATCTGAATAAAAAGAAAAGTTCTCCAAATTAGACATCCAAAACAAAAGAAGTGCAAATCAAACGAGCAAAGCAAACAATTGGATAAACAAATGAGTACAGGTAAAAAATCAGGGGTAAGGCTTATTGGTATAGGCAAGGTTCTGAGACAACTGGCAAAACAATCACATAAGGTATGAAATTCGACCAGAATGGCCTGAAATGAATGGCAGCAACGAATTTTTATTTGTAGCGGTTGAGTGAGAAAATTGGCTATTAAAAAGATTAACTGTGCTAATCGTGCATTTTTTTATTTTCTGTTTTTTTTTTGTTGTGATCAGAAGGTTAAAATATCTGATCGACTTGACCTTACATCAACCTTACATTAAACTCGATACGTGTTAAGTTTCTTTTTTTTTAAAAAAATTATCATAATAACAGAGGTTGCAATCAGTAGGCCCTTCATCACGTATTCCAGTCAAAATCTTCTGAATTTTCTAGATAGAGAAGTGATAATGATCAGAAGGAGATGAAAAGTGTTGATGTCCTTACATAAAACTCAATACATTAAACTCGACCTTACATCAACCTTACATTAAACTCGATACGTGTTAAGTTTCTTCAATAAGAACACGCAACTCGACACGAGAAATGTAACAGGCGCCTACTTAAGTATATGAAGCTAAGAAAAATAGGCCCTATAATCATTGGCTCAAGGGCCAGGGAGTGTGTTTTTGAGCCTCATTCAATCGGAGCCAATTCGGTTAACTTGCGACATGAGACTACAAACCTTTTACAGTGTAAAGGCTAATACCAAAATACCCCCCCCCCCCACGCTAGAAATAAGATCGCCCCCATGATCAGGTCTCGAAATACCTAAACCACGCGAACATCATTAAAAACAGGGTTGGAAGCCTAGGTATACCGTTAGTTTTTATTGCACAGTGGAACTTTGATCCATTTCAGATGGATCAACCTGAAACTCGCCTTTTCTCAACATAATCACATAAAATGCACTCAAGAAGTTTAAATTGAGTATTCACATAGTGAAGCGACTCTAGAATTAGGTAGTGTAATACAGCAACTCTAGAACAAGTTTGAAGTGAGTAAGTTTTGCTCAAGACGATTTATTGAATTGAATTAACGTATCAAAGTAGATACATCAGTAAAATAAATATCAAGGAGTCAGATGATTGATCTCTATCAGATGATTTTTTCTGGATCATTGGGCAGCTTCGGTTGTCCACTTTCCCAGTCAATTGAACTTTTTATCTTGAACTCTCGATCCTTTATCAGAAACAAGACAATTCTACTCGTATCGAATTATTTTGGATCAGTTTTGGATTTTGACCAGTTTTTGCGGCAGCCAACTTGACGACGCTTGCCAAAAAAGGAAAAGTAGATGACCTGAGGCCCATTGCTGTGGGAGAAGTCTGGCGCAGGATTGCAGGTAAATGTGCTGGTCAGTACGAAACAGCGAGGTTCAAGGAGTTTTTCAGTCCCTTTCAACTTGGTGCTGGTGCGAAAAATGGTGCCGAAGTTGCGGTCCATGCTGCTCGCTCCTTCTTCGAGTTAGCTTCAGACGAAGACGTTTTCCTCAAGTTGGATTTCAGCAATGCTTTCAACACCATGCGTCGTGACAGTATTGCTTTTGCTTTCGAAGAGTTTTGCCCTGAGCTTTTGCCTTTTTCAACATGTGCTACGAGCGGGAGAGTTTCCTTGTTTATGGTGACCACCCTTTGCTATCGAGAGAAGGTTTCCAACAGGGGGACCCAATTGCGTCTTTTGGTTTCTGTCTCGGAGTGCATCGCTGTCTCACTGCAATCTCATCCAAGTTCAAGGTCGGTTACATGGACGACATCAGTGCTGGGGACAAGTGGCAGATAGTTTTGCGTGACCTCGCCAAGTTCATTGACAGTGCCAAAGGTCTCGGGTTAAACCTCAATAACACCAAATGTGAAATCACTGTCTTCACTCAAGACCAGCAAAAGAGCGATATGATTTTACGTGAATTCAGACGTGTCTGTCCTGGTATCAGCAGCGTGAGCACCGAAGACGCTGAACTGCTAGGAAGCCCTCTGGGCCATACAACTTTACAGCATGCATTGGAAGAGAAGAGAGAGAAAATCGAAAACCTCTGCAAGAATCTTCCGTTACTGCCTTCACACGTCGCGTTTTTCCTGCTCCGACATTGTTTTGCCATGCCTAAGCTCATGTATTTGTTCCGCACTGCTCCTACTTTTGTTTTTATGAACTCTGTTGAAAAAATCACCTCTTATATCCGTGGAGCTGTTCAAACTGTCAGTAACATTCTGATTACCAACAGAGAATGGGATCAGCTCACATTGCCTATCAAACTCGGTGGTCTAGGCTTACAGTCACCTTCGGACCTTACTTTGGCTGCCTATATTTCGTCTACACGCGCCACCAGTGAAGACGTCTTCAAAGTCATTGCGTCTCAATACACCAGCAAGTCCTTCAAGAATGCCATTGAACTGTGGTCTGAAACTGTTTCTCCTGATATGCCACTGGAAGACAAGCAAAAGTGGCAGAAAAGCTGGTACACTCCGATTGTTTCTCGTAGGCGGTCGTCTCTCCTAGCTAACACCACCTGTGACAGTGACAAAGTTCGTTTACAAGGATGCTCTGTTCCCGGTTCCGGAGACTGGCTTGCTGCTATTCCGTCTGATACGCTCGGTCTCCAGCTGACTGAAGACGCTTTCAGAATTGCTACGGGACTTCGCCTTGGTGCCCCCCTTCTTTTTTCATGCAACTGTGCATGTGGCACTAAATGCGACAGCCAAGGCATTCATCCACTTATATGCCCGAAAACCAAAAGTCGTTTCATCAGGCATCAACTTGGTAATGAAGTCATCAGAGACGCGTTGAAATCAGCAGGAGTACACAGCAAACTCGAGCCGACCGGTATGCTGCGTGACGATGGTAAAAGACCAGACGGTGCTACTTTAGTTCCATGGAAAAATGGCGCAGTTTTAGTCTGGGACTTTACCTGTGTAAACCGACAAGCACAGTCAAATCTATCAACAGGCCTCGAAGATGGTCCCACTGTTGCTAACCATGCTGAATTTCGTAAGCGCCAACACTATTCTGGTCTGCCACGCAACTGCATGTTCGAGCCCATCGCCGTGGAACATCTTGGTGGCATTGGAAGCTCGACATACAAAACTCTATCCTCTATTTCCTATAGAATCAAGACGACCACTGGTGAGAAAAGGTCATTCACGTTCCTCAAACAAAGACTCGGCATTGCACTGCAACGCGGTAATGCTGCCTGCTTACTGGAAGCTTTAGAAGTTAACTCAACGGGCTATAAGCCAACTGCTTTTTAACCTTTTGCTGTATTTACAACTATTGAAGTTATCAGATTTCCCAGCGAAATAAAAATTATTTTGGTAAATCAATTTTACTCCGGTGTTTTCTGTCGTTTTTCCAGCAATTTTAACTCGAGTATTTTGATCTGATTCATTTTGTAATTTCAGTTGTCGCGGGAAACTTGAGCCTGACAGGGTCAAATCGAATTTTTGAAAAATTACTTTTTATCCCCAGTACAAAACCAAACTTCCAGATATGACCGACTGGCACATACTCCCCGGACTCAAGATCAATGTCCTCGTCATGTCAGTGAGCCTCCAGAATGTTTAGTGCGACTCAAGATACAAGGCTAGTGGTCATTTACAGAAGTTTACAGCAGATTCAACTTTATCTCTATCCTCAGAATTCACAGTCATGCAAAATTGTCACTTTATGCTAAACAGTAATCACAATCTGCATCCACCCGCACCCTCAATATCACCCTATAAGTTATTTCTTTAAAAAAATTTTCGTCCAACCCAATCAGAAAACTGTCATGCAATATTTTGATATATATAAATAGATATAGCTATAAAAAAAATTGTATGTTAAAGTTTTTTTCCATGCCCTCAGAATCCATCTGAGATCACACTCAAGCCCCATTCTCTTCCATACTCAAGACTCAGGAACCGATCTCTGAGAATCCTGTTCAACTCTTGCCCCAGTTTTTCGAGGTACTGGTTCCAGATGCACTCGACACTGTGATTCGCCACGTTAATCCCTCCTCATCATCAGAACTAATCCTCTAGTTTTTCATAGGCCAAGAGGTCAACGTCGCCCGAAACATGAGAAGAACCTTATGGGACCCCACATGTGTCTCATTTCGATGGGTACAGCGAATACTTTGCAAGCAGTCTCAAACAACTCAAGCCTCCTGCTCTAGTCAATAGCATGTATCGTCTCCACTGTCGGTGCCTTTGACTACCGATAATTCGCTGTATTCTCCTCAATCCACCCCAAAGCCAACATCGAGCTCACCACGAAGAGAGTAACTTTTTGTTGATGGTCAATTATTCCTATCGACCGGATCTAATCAATATCCCATATCAAGCAGAGATTTGACTGCTCTGGACATGGGTACTCTCTGTGCGTCAGATTGATGCTTCGGACGTTACGCTATTCAGATGCCTCGGGCAAAGGTTCGAACAATGGTTCGATTATCATTTTTGCGTGCGTCACATTATTCTTGTTTGCCGCTTGCGTGTTGTTTGTCGCCTTCCCGATTGCGTTTTGCCTTTAGAAATCACTAGTATTCTCCTTTTCTGAACTCAAAAGTTCTTCTCCCCAGATTTCACTCAAGTCCTCCACTCGGTTCCCTCGCACCGCCCCCACCCTTTTTCGTAACAACTGATGCGCATGATGTGACATTCGCGCTAAGCGTACGCACTTGGGCACCGACAAAGCTTTATCGATCATCAACCTCTGTCTGGACGCTTCCACCATTGCCATGAGCAGTGGGTAATGACTTCCTCACAAGTTCTCCATGACTGATCCCACCAGAGACTTCGCATTCATCAACAGACTGTAGGCCTCACTCACAGAAAACCCCATCTCTGCCTCCAGACCGGTTTTCCATACCGTGATATGCTTCTGTAGCATCTGCAGCACTCCAGGCCAAGGCTCCACACTCTGATTCCAGCATTTCCAGCATGTTCTGATTACAGCA